AGATCAACAATTATTTTCTTTTCCAAAATTTAATATATAAGAGGACATTTCACTTTTCAGCAAGAAACATTTCCCATTCAAAGAAACAATGAAATTCAAACCTAAATTCTAAATACTTGTAATTCATTCATCATATTATCCCATCATCTTCATTCATGTTGTGTTACATGCTTAACTACAGGCATCTGTTGTTCTCAATTATTGCATTCTCCAGGAATGATTTTTAACCCAAAGAACATTCCTCCAACAAGTGTATGAAAACTAAACTAACCCTATGTGTAAAACTCTACATGGAAACTTAACCAAAAATCCTCTATCCTAAACCCTCCATGTAAGGGAACATTGAATATTTCCTAGCCAGGGCTCCCCTGCGTTACTACCTGAACAAGATCTTTAACACGGAATTTAATGAAAAAACATACATTATCGCAGGCTCCCTCTTACTTTACCAGAGTGAGCACTCTCTCTTTTGTTCATCTTATTCCCCAGTACCTAGCACATAGCTGGTCCCAATAATTTAACACTAAACCATCATTAAAATATCTGTCATATTGGAAACCAGGCCAACAGGTGGACCATATCATTTTACAGATTTTCTAACAGACTCTCAACAAGTTTACAAATCATTTTTCCTTTGTTTTTATTCCTTTATTATCCATCATCAAAGCCTGTCTTGTTTATTTCACTATTAGACAAACTTCAAGTATTAATAATATAACCCGCAGACCCTCCATTAGCCTACAAGATAGTTTGCCTGCCTTAGTCTCGTCAGTCCTGTTCACCGCTACCACACTAATGTTCCTTCATCTCATGACGCCCTACTCAAAATCCCCAAAGGTCCAATATCAACCTATAGCAAAGGTCCTCAAACTGCAGTGTGCATAAGAATTACCTGAAGGACTTATTAAAACACAAACTTAGGGCCCCAATCCCCAGTGTCTGCTTCAGTCAGTCTAAAGCAGGGATAAAAAATTTGCATTTTTAATATGTTCCCAGATAATGCTGATGATACTAGTCTGGGAAATATACTTTGAGAGCCACTGGTCCAAAGCAATCATTCCCAAATACTGGATCCTAAGCAAATACATCCAAATCACCTTAAGAGCTAAAAAACACAGAATATAGTCTTTATCCACAGCAATGCTCATTCGGAAGGTGTGGACAGGACTAAGAATCAATCCCTAGGTTAACTGATATGTAGCCAGGTTCGGAAACTATTAGTCTAAAGATAAACCACAAACCACTTAGATGACACTTAAGGCTTTCCACAACCTGCACTCAAATATACCTGTCCAAATTTATCTTCTAGTCCACAATATAAACCTTCAGTTATAGTTAAATCCCTTTTCATACTTATCCCTGAATATCCTGGTTCATTTAGTCCTTTTGTGCCACTTATTATTATCTCATTACCTTTTTCACCTATCTGGGGCACCTTGCCCCATCTTCTCTACCTCCAAAGGACCAACTCATTACCAATCTCGAAAACTTCTCTTGGTCTATTCAACATGTCTCAGAATGATTATATTATGCATTACATCAACTACTGTTCTTATATTTAGCAACATTAGTTCATCTGTCTGTGTCATCAGATATCCAGTTTATTGGTGGGTTTATTGTCTAATATTCCTCAGTACTGTGTAATCTGAAAGAATTCTGAGGGAACTGTAAAAGATAGGCAACTAAAGACAATTTGAAAGTTGTATAACAATTTTCATTGTATAGCAATAACAATGTAAAATATTTACTATCTTTGTTCTTTATCTTTTCTTTCTTCGTTTTTCTTCCTCTCCTGCTTTCTTTTGGATTAATCAAAATTGTATTCTTTGTTTAATTTTATTCAATCTACTTGATTTTTAGCTATATATCTATTTTACAATTTTAGTGTTTGTTCTAGGGATTAAAATATGCATACTTAACTTATCATACTCTACCCTAAACATTATGCCTCTTCATGTATAATTCAAGAAACTCATAAAAGCACAGTTTCATGTACCTACTCCCATCCTTTGTGAAATTACTATATCTTACTTTCAAATATATTATAAAAACTATATATACTATTGTTTTGACTTAAGGAGAAATTAATATTCTTTAAACAAAAATAAAGACATTATGAAATGAGAAAAAAAGTATTTTATTTTGCCCACATATTTGCCATTTCTGGTCCTCTTTATTTTTTCCTGTAGATCTGAATTACTATCTGGTATTATTTTCCGTCAGCCTGAAAAACTTTCTATAACATTTCTTGAAGTATAGGTCTAGTGTTGACAAATTCCTTCAGCTTTAGTTCATTTGAAAATGTTTCTATTTTATCTTCATTTCAAAGGATATTTTCAGTTGATAAAAAATTCTAGATTGACAATTTTTTAGTTTTTCCAGCACTTTTAGATTGGTATTCACTGATTTCCGGCTTGCATTGTTTCTCATGAGAAGTCAATGATAATTTTTAACCACCGTTTGCCTATGAGCAATGTCTTTTTCCTCCCCTCTATTTTTTAAATTTTTCTTTGGTTTTCATAATGACGTGTGTCAAGGTGCTGATTTTCTTTGTGTTTATCTTACTTGGAATTTGTTGAGCTTCTTTGCATTTACATGTTTATATGTTTCAAAAAATTTGGAAATTTGGGGGTCATTCTTTCTTCTGGTATTTTTCTAACCCAATCTCTGTCCCCCTCTCCTTCTATACCTGCAACCACACAATTGTTAGACTGCAAAATATTGTCCTAAAAGATATTATGACTTTGTTCATTTTTCTTTTTGGTCTATTTTCTATCTGTGCTCTGTTTCAGATGGTTTAGATTGATCTATCTTCAAGTCCACTCATACTTTCTTCTACAGAATGTAATCTCCTACAAAATCCATCTGATGAACTTTTCATTTCAGATATTAATTCCTATCAACTTTTTGATCCTAGTTATGAGTCACATTTTCCTGCCTTTTCACAAGTATAATAATTGTATGTTAGACATTGTGGATGCTTTGTTATCGAGAATCTGGATTATGCTGTCTTACTTTATAGAGAGTGTTGTTCTGTCGGGCAATTAATTTATAGGCAGTTCAAGCTGATAAAGAGAGACTTGGTTTGGAGCTTGTTATGCGAGATCTATAGTAACCCTTCCTTTACCACTAGAACAGCCCTAACTCCTAAGATATAACTTTTCTGAGGTCACAGCTGAAATCACAGGATATTCTGCGAGCTCTCCCCATACTTCCTGGTCTGAACACCACCACTTCTGAGCATTTTATAACTTCTGAAACCTTCAATCATCTCACAGTCCCACAGTAGCTGCTTTCTGCTAAGCCTTGTGGTGTACACAGCTTCATATTTGACCAAAGGGCTAATAATGTGGAAAGTGTCCCCAAGGAGGATGCCAGGATGAATGTAGAGCTCATCTCCTGTGTTCTCTTCCCTCACCTGATTGCCTGAGCCCATCTGGCTCTATAGTTGCTTATAGCAAAAGGTAACTTCATCATGACCAGAACTAGAAGTCCCTAATTATAACAATTTTTGAAATAGCTTTAAAATCTATTCTTTTAGGCCGGGCGCTGTGGCTCACGCCTGTAATCCTAGCTCTTGGGAGGCCGAGGCGGGTGGATTGCTCAAGGTCAGGAGTTCAAAACCAGCCTGAGCAAGAGCGAGACCCCGTCTCTACTATAAATAGAAAGAAATTAATTGGCCAACTGATATATATATAAAAAAATTAGCCGGGCATGGTGGCGCATGCCTGTAGTCCCAGCTACTCGGGAGGCTGAGGCAGGAGGATCGCTTGAGCCCAGGAGTTTGAGGTTGCTGTGAGCTAGGCTGACGCCACGGCACTCACTCTAGCCTGGAAAACAAAGCGAGACTCTGTCTCAAAAAAAAAAAAAAAAAAAAAAAAAAAAAAAAAAATCTATTCTTTTATTTCATCCTTAAAATAAACATGTTACATGAAAGGCAAACATATTTCCATAGGACAGATTAGCAAACCAAGACACAAATGTGAATAACCAGCCTCCGACCCATATAGATATTTTATCTAATAAATAAATATTCATCAAGCACCTACTATGAGCACATGGTAACTGACCAAGCAGTAAAAAGAACTCAGAGAATATAGTTTCAACCCATATTATTGCTACTGAAGCATCAATAAAGAACATACATACCAAAAGATGTCTAATGAATGAATAACCAAGAATCATTTAATCTACCAGGAATATGTCTGCATTCTAAAAAATGATTATAATTTATACTTATGAATTATTTTTTCCTGCAAAGACTCCTATTTGCCATGCAAGTAATTTCATTTCTACATAGCTATAATTTTCAATTCCCTACATATACATAATTTTTTTTCTTATTAGTAGGTGCTAGCTAACTAAGCCACTTCAGTTTAGCTATGTCAAACTCGCTTCAGCTAACTCTTAATTGTATTTCTAATTTTCATCTGGCCAAATCAAATATCTTTTGCTGGCACACAGAGAAAATATATAATACAATTTCTAAATACCATCTCAGCAGTATCATACTAAACAATAATATTATTCCTCTAACCTTCAACAAATCAATGTGATACATTCACACCTTATGCATTTATCATCATCTCTCAAAATAAGCTCTTGACCTGCCATTTAACCCACTATATGCAGAAGCTGGCTATAAGGAAATAGTCAACAAAATTAAGCTACATATATGTTTATAAAATAGTGCTTAAGAACATTTTAATATTTATTACCTTAATGTATGACTAATTCCAATGAACTAAGTACATTACAACAGAAAGCCAGATACCATAAATATTGAGAATCTGCTATTTTTAAAGTCTGGCAAAAAAAAAAAAAACCAAGAGATTGCTACAGGTTTTTTGAAGATGGTAAAAGTTAATGCCATCAGCAGTATGACCTTTAAATGGAAGCATTACTTTCTCACCCTGTTTATGATCCTTAATATTTTAGGTGGCTGATTTTTTGCTGCTGTTGTTCTCAACTGTTATTCTGAATCAAGATGACAGCCTTACCTGCAGAACATCTTGGATCTTCATCCACACGTCTGCCATATCATACAATTTGATGTCTTCCTGCTGAGTGAGGGGAGTCACGACTGTGTCCTGCAGGTATCCCAGGACCACAGAGTGTGCAGTGGCTACAGCATTAAACTTGTCAAACAGTAACTCCAGCAGTTCTAGAAGCAATCTAGAGACAGAAACAAACAAACAAATAAATACCATTTACACAAACACACACATACATACAGATAGATGGTTTACACTGGCCTGCAAGAAAAACATCAAACTAAGGCACAGTATTAATAGCTTACTACAATGTAAATAGCACAGACATGAGAGTTAAACAGATTTGATTTGAAACAGTTGTATATTCTAAGCAAGTTCCTAAAACATATCTAAGCCTCAGTTTCCTGTGCTATAAAATGGAAATAAGAATTTAACAACCAATTGTAACATCCCTAAACCAGCAATAGCAGCTCAATAAACACTTATTTCCATTTTAACATATTTCAGTGATTATAATACTACTATTCTGTATTCACATAAGCAACTTCTCCAAGGAATTCAGGCAATTTTTTCAGACAATAGCTCAGATGTTACACAGAATATGCTATTCCCCAGCAATAAATTGGGCACTTTGGTAAGGATATTAATCCTTTTAGTCATGGAAAGCTATGCTTACTATCATTCAATTGTATGGCCTGAGCTGCCTGAAAAGAAATACACACCTGCCAAGCAATCTGACTTTCACCATGGGGAGCAGCTTAGGCATCCACATTATCTCATTTATCATAGCAAGATATGCTGGACACATATTATTACATCAATTTTATATACTCAAGGACACAAAATGAGGTTGCAAGGCAGCTGGGCCTAGAACAAAAGTTTATTTCCACATCAGTGCATTTAGCCACCTACCTCTCACTATAGTCCTAGAATGTAGATGTATATTTAGAAATAACTCAGAGCTTTATGTCACAGATGCCAAGTAATTCCTCTACCGCTGAGCCCTACAGCTTCACTGATCACCCAAGCCTGGAATCAGCCTTTCCTCCTCTGAACTTGCATGGTATTTTATCCTGCGTTTAAGAAACTTAAACATGTGGTTCAAATATGTGGCTCGATAAATGTGGGTCACATTTATTTATACAGAGATATTTTACCTCCCTTCTCTATTAATAGTCTTTCAGGGTAGGTGCCACCTTATATGTCTCTGCATACTTAGGAGCATTTAGAACAATGATCACCAAATATGTGCTGAACAAATTTGATGTGTACACCATGAACAAATACAGAAAACCTCAGAATGTGAGCTTTATTGTCTATTGTGTGACTCTCAGTTCATAGTTCTTATAAAGACTGATAAACCAATCTGGAAAGCAGAAAAGAGAAGCAGAAGAGCTTGTCAGTAGCGTCAATTAACAAGATTTTATTACCATAAATAAGAGGTTATAACTACAATCTCATCAAAACGTACAGGGTATTATCTATGCCTATGGCTTCTTTACTGCCCAATTATTGTAATTAATGTGCCCATGTGACATCCCATAACTTTCTTACAATAAAACCCTAATATCTATTTGACATTGTAATTTGGATGAGACAAAATCAATAGAATTTATGTAGTACTTCCAGTCTAGAATATACATACATAATCCAGAAATTACACATTGTATTTAGAAATAGAAGCCATTCTACCTTTTGAATGATGATTCTTTTTAATCTTGTAAAGGTCAATTCATATTTCTACTCACATATACTGTAAATAATTCTTCCTTCTCATTTGTGTTATTGGAGAACTCAAACATCAATAGAGAGAGGTACAAAATACAGAAAGATCTGTCTAAACATAAAAGCTGAACTAGCTAATTCAGTATAGGGAAATGATCTGTATAAAACTGGTATCTGGCATTACACAGATCAGTAATTTAATCAGCAAATACTTGACTAAGTGAAGGTTCTACTTTTCCAATAAATATTTGCGCTAAGTATGTAAGACGGTGGTTCCCAAATAGGAATCCACAGACCATAACATATTCTTTCAGAGGTAGATGGCAAAATAAGAAAAATATGAATGATATATTGACTCTTCACAAAGGTAAGTTTATTTAATTTTACATTTTTTGTACTCTCTTGGTAGGAAAACCTCAGTTATATTCTGTCATGATGACAGTTATGTTGCCAAATGCCCTTAATGAACAAAATTAAAACTTGATAATTGTATATTATACCACAGCATTTTCTGAAATTATATTGATCTGTGGTATTCAGAAGCCTGAGGCACACTGGTGTTCAATAGCCCAGTGGCATGAAGTTCTAGGCACAGGATTGTGAACCAGCAACAAAGTTTTAATGGAAAAGGAGTAGCTCCTCTGCTAGGGGTACCGTTATATGGTTAACTCCAGGTCCAATGAGCTCCACGACTGCACACCTTGTCTGTCTGTCAAGAACAAGAGCTGCTCAGCAACCAGGAGCCGTGCTCCATTTAGAAAAGAAACCCAGTGGAGAAATGAGGTGCAATATGAGATTCATAGTATCTATTAACATCATGGAAACAGCCATCCCTTGATAAAAAGCTGACATGTGGCCAGCTTCTGTCCCTCTTGGAAGTTCAAGGCCAAGATAGTTCTGTTCCTATAGTGTGGCCATCATAGCCAGGCTATACATGGAAGAGAGAAAGGAGGTATAATAGTAGCTAGGAAGAGACCAGAAGTGGGGAGACTCTACTTGCAGCTGCACCTACTTCAAGACCTCTACCCATTTCAAAGAGAAAGAAGTTCTCTCTTGCATTACCAAAGCACAATCACGTCATATTATTAAAATCTGCAGCTATAACATCAAAATTAAAAATGTTTATACTTCAAATGATACCAACGAAAAAATGAAAAGGCAATCCACAAAATGGGAAAAAATATTTGCAAATCATAGATCTGGTGAAAGACTTGTATCTAGAATATCTAAAGAACTCTTACACTCATGATAAAGAAAGCAATTGGATTTAAAAATGGACAAAGGATATGAATATACATTGCCCCAAAGAAAATATGAATGAGCAATAAGCAAGCAAAAAGATGCTCAACATCATTAGCCATCAGAAAAATGCAAATCAGAATCACCATGAGCTAGAACTGAAATCCACCATGATGGCTATAATCAAAAAGATAAACAATAAAAAGTGTTTAGTAGGGATGTAGAGAAATCAGAACTCTCATACAGTGCTGGGGGAATGCAGTGTGGTACAGCCACTTTGGAAAACAGTTTGGCAGCTCCTCAAGACATTAAACATAGAGTTACCATATGGACCTAGTAATTCCATTCCTAAAGACTCAAGAGAAATGAAAACACACGTGCACACAAAAATTTATGCAAAAAAACGTTCATAGCAGCACTCATAACAACCAAAAGGTGGAAACAATCCACGTGTCTATCAACTGAGGAATGGACAAACAAAATGCGGTATAGTTACACAATAGAATATTATTTGGCCATAAAAAAGGAATGAAGTGCTGATATATGATGCAACAGGAATGAACCTTGAAATTATTATGCTAAGTGGAAAATGTCAGTCACAGAAGATTATATATTGTATGATTCTATTTATATGAAATATTAAGGGTAGGCAAATTTTGAGAATCAGAAAATACATCAGTGGTAAGTTACTTAGGCTGGGGGAGGGTGGTTGATTGATAAAGTATGTGGAGTTTGTTTTAGGGAGGACAAAAATGTTCTACAACTAGAAAGTGGTGATGGCTGCAAAACCCTATGCATATACTAAAAAACACTGAATTGAATACTTTCAATAGGTAAATTGGATAATATGTGAATTATATCTCAACATAACTGCTTTGAAGAAAATAACAAAATAGCATTTGTGACTCTCAGTAAGGACAGTGAAGGCTTAACACCTCTGCAGCAGGGAAGAGGAAACACGTAGAACAACGAACAAGGAAGCTGGTATCACAAAAGCAAAGCATGATTCCTTTAAATTCTTACTACCATGAGGACATTAACTTTTTCTCTTTTTTGTTCACTTGGCTTTTGTTATTTGTTTCTCCTTCTTACATAAGCAATGTATAAGAAACAAAAAATTTCCATTCCTTTCCAGCACTGACACTTTCTACACATTTAATTATGAAAAATATTTGTTGACTTCTCCAAGTGTCCCCATCTGTAAAATTAAAGCATTAATTAATATCTGTTCTAGGAGCCTCACAGAGCTGCTAGAAGGATCAAATTAGAAAATAGAACTAGTTGAGGTAAATGGTAGAACACTAAAAAGAGGGGAGGTTCGGAATTCCTTTGTCATCTAGATTTTTTGCTTGAATAACACTGAAGATGATGATTACCTTTGGGGGAGGGAGAGAGAAGGAAGGGGGAGACAGAGGGAGAAAGACAGGGAGAGAGGGAGAGAATTAAAATTAAGTTAGAAATTTGGAAGGAGAATTGTTTGGTTTAGATCTGGATATGTTAAGTTTAAGATGTTTATCCTTAGGTATTTGGATATGCATGTACCAAGTTTAGGAGAGAAATTGATACTGAAAATTTAAAAAGTGATACCTTAAAGCGATACAAGTGAATCTACCATTTGATCCAGCAATCCCATTGCTGGGCATCTAACCCAAAAGATCCAATGACACTCTACAAAAAAGACACCTGCACTCGAATGTTTATAGCAGCACAATTCATAATTGCAAGGTTGTGGAAGCAGCCCAAGTGCCCATCAATCCAAGAATGGATTAATAAAATGTGTTATATGTATACCATGGAGTACTATTCAGCTCTAAGAAATAACGGTGACATAGCACATCTTATATTTTCCTGGTTAGAGCTGGAACCCATACTACTAAGTGAAGTATCCCAAGAATGGAAAAACAAGCACCACATATACTCACCAGCAAACTGGTATTAACTGAGCAGCACCTAAGTGGTCACATAGGTACTACAGTAATAGGGTATTGGGCAGGGGGTGCGGGGGGTGGGTATATACATACATAATGAGTTAGATGTGCACCGTCTGGGGGATGGTCATGCTGGAGACTCAGACTTGTGGGGGGAGGGAGGAAAGGACATTTATTGAAACCTTAAAATCTGTACCCCCATCATATGCCGAAATAAAAATAAAATAAAATAAAGTGATAAATATTTAAGAGGACGAGATCACTCAGAGATCGTATGCAGAATAAGAAA